AGTGACTCACTCATGTCTACCCAATCTTGAGCTACCTTAAGCTACACTCTATCTTGTGGATCTGAAACGTTAGTAGGCAAGGCAGTCATAGAAAAATACGAATATTTACTATCATCAAAATTCTATTCCCTAAAGTTAGATTTACAACATACTCGACCAAGAGACTAAAGATTGTCTTATGAGAATAACATGTTCTAGAGGTGCTTTTCATATCAACCATACAACTTGCAAAGTCTAAATCATAATATCCTATGATCTCAAAAGATTATGGTATTCCAAATTTCTAAGTTTTGAGTTCCTAAAAAATATATAAGAATTCTTTTAAAAGTACTAATGTTAGATTATTTGGGATCACAAGAAATCTTGCACATAGATAAACATTAAACATGATATCAGGTCTACTAGAAGTCAAGTAAAGGAGTGATCCAATTATCCCTCTATAGTTCTTCTGATCAACTAATTTTTTATTTGGATATTTATCTAGATGAATAATAGAGCTCATGGGAGTGTTTATTGCCTTAGCATTATCTATTTTATATTTCTTAAAGATGTCCTTAATGTATTTTGATTGACTAAGGAAAGTTTTATCATCCTTCTTCTTTACACTAAATCCAAGAAAATAGTTTATCTCACCCATCATACTCATCTAAAACTCTTCACTTATAATTTTTAAGAATTTAGCACAAAAATTTTTTTTATAGGTCTAAATAATATATCATCAACGTAGATTTGAACTAAGAGTATGTATTCTCCTTCTTTCTTTAGGAATAGGGTGGTGTCTACACTACCCTTTAAAAAATCTACATCTAGAAGGAATACACTCAGCCTTTCATACCATGATCTATGTGCTTACTTCAACCTAAATAAAGCCTTCTTTCATTGTTAGGATCCATAATTCATCAACTAGGGCTTGATCTATATTGGTGGGTTCTTTTATGGAGATAAATGCAGAATGACATAGGTTTGTTACCTTGAAAAACTTAATTATATTGGTGGGTTCTTTCATGGAGACTAACCATGCCATCTAAGCTATATTTCTTGTTTTCAATATTAAATGAGTTTTTTAATTCAACATGCTTAATTTTTTAAGGAATCAAATTCAATAGATAATTCAATATGATTGTTGTTTAATACATCAAACTCATCAAATAATAACATATGATTGCTATCTAAGCTAGAGTATTTATTTATCAAACAAGTATAATCTTTTTGCAAAGTAGTAAAATCATTATTCATATTAGCATACATCTTTTTCAATTTCCTATATGAATCTTGAATTTTCTTTGAAATTATAAATAATTCATTATAGGAAAGTTAACGTACCTCATCTTGTCTAATTGATCAAGATTATTGTTAGCCATAAAATACATGTTTGCTACCTCCTTCTCTACTTATGGTTTCAATGATTCTGAGGCAAAGTTGGCCCTAAAAGCCTCTTATTCTTGTTCTTCCCATTCCTGAATTTTCCCTTTTCTTGACCCTTCTCCATGATCGGGTGAGTCATCAAGTTGGGGTAGTCTGTTCAGAGATGTTCTGGTTTTCTACATTCAAAACATATTATTTTAGACGACACTTTAAAATTTCTACTACTTTTACATTTGTTCTAATGTTGTTGATGGTGCCTTTACTTCCTTTTTAGAAAACCTTTAAATTGATGGGTTAAAACCATAATGTCATCCTCCTCCTCCTCTACAGAACTATTATTATCTGAATTGTTTGCTATAAATGCCACATTTTCTCCTTCTTCTTTTCTCCTACATCATTTTGTCTTTAACTCATGCATTGATCCTAGGCAATGAGTGACCCAAGAAAATTATCAATAGAATATACATTTAAATCTTTTGATTTAATAATTACAATAATTTTAGCATCATAAGAATTATGTAGTTAATATAAAATCTTATTAATTTTTTTAGAATTAGAAAGCTCTTTACCTTGTGCATGCTAGGATGTCACTATTTGGTTAAACCTAGTGTACATTTCAATTAAAGTCTCGCTAGGTTGCATGCAAATATGCTCATAGTCATGTATTAAAATATTTTTTCTAGACTATTTAACTTCACTAGTTCCATCATATGTAATGCATAGTCTTTTCCATATCTCCTTCCTCGCAGTACAGGTAGATACTCACATATAATCCTTATATTTCAAAGCATAATAAAAAAACAATTTAAACATTTAGCATTTAATTATGTGAGTTCTATATCCTTATAACCCTATTTAGTAAAGTGAATATCAATATTGACACCATTAACTATATGAGATGGAAGTGAATAACCAGTTTGAATCATATCTCAAATTTTATAGTCAATAGATTGTAAAAATGTTGACATACAAATTTTTTGAAAGTCGAACGAAATGTTTTTTAAAAAAAATGTATGAGTTATGGAATAACATGCAGTAGTATTCTTATTACCAAAATGTGCCATTAGATCCATATAAGAAGATTTTCAAATCTAAATTTTAAAAACCGCTTTGATACCAATTGAAAGTTGAATAATAATGTTAAGCATAAGTGAACTTGTTCCTATACACACCAAGAAGGGGGTGAATTTAAAAACTAATTACTTAATTTAAAAATAAAGATAATATTTTTGGATTTATTTAATATTTAGACAAATAAATAACAATTATCACTAATGTGGACGAGAACAAATTTACCAAAATATATATGGAACAATGATGATATTCTAATCAGTAGAATAAAGCATTGAGTACGATTTTCTCCAAGAAGTTATAAAGGAATTAAAATGCAAAAGCGTACAAATACGGAAATAAAAATCAGAACAAACACAATAGAGATTTAGAGTGGTTCAGTCAAATAATGTCATACATCCACTCCTTGGAGTCCTCCACTCCGAGTATTGCACTATCACTATAGTGTCTCTCCTTTTTCCCCCACAACAAAGCTAAGAATTATATTTGCCTGTGATCGTAAGGGATTCTCTGCCTTGTTGTGGGGAAAAAGAGAGTCACTTAATTCTTAGTGCAATTCTCGGAGTGGACTTTGAGGAGTGGACATAGGTCAAGGGTGATCGAACCACTATACATCTCTAGTGTGTTAGTTCTTGTTTTGCTTTTTTGCTTTTGTTCACTCTTATTTCTTGCATTTTATTTACTTTAAAATCTATAATTTGTGAGATCTTGTTGGAATTAGAACTATATTTTGATTATGCTCAAAAAGGAGTTCAAAATAAAAATGACACAAATATTTCTCATTGCAAGTTTGTTGCTTACAAAAATCAAATCAAAAATATTTTTTCTTCACTAGTCTATAAGTTTTTTAATAAATTATAATATTTGAAAAGAGAATTTTTTAATCTCCAATTCACCCCCCCACCTTGGTGTGCTCTTGTAGTTTTAGTAGGTTTAACCAGCCACATTCAAACTTTCAGAACTTGCATGTAAATGCCACATGTATGGTTTGGATGGGTTATAATGTTGCACACACCCCATTGTAATTTTTTAGTTGATGCAAAATTTTAGAACTCCACATTGTTGATGATAAATCAGATGTGTAATACAAATTTGAGCTTTACCTCCTTCCAAAATATATAATTACTACGTCTATACATTACAATCAAATAGTCTGTCAAAAATTATTTCATCATCCTAATCCTAAGTTATTTGTCATATAATATCATAGTTGTAGGCATATATCATATGCTCTCTCATATTAGCAGTTCTAACACAATAATATTTGATCAGATTTTACCCCTAACAGGGGCAGCTATGTAGATTTCACCAAAATATAATACTAAATCCTCAAAACTATCTTTTGATTCACCACTTGAGATACTACCCATTGTCTCATATCCCTCATCAACAACTGATAGATGGGCTCTAAAATATTTCACTTGACAGAATAAACCATTCAACTATAACAATTGACCTACCATATTAACATCAAATGCTATTGGGGATAACCTAACAAATAAACATGAATGGGATCAGATCATTATGAGAATAAATTAACATGTTATTCCTTTAATAAGATGAAAATTGACATATACTTATCGTAATATTGGAGCATCATCAACCATCCATGTTGTAGCTGTCAAAGATGTGTTCACCTACTCCTTATAGTTACTTTCATTTGTAGTATAGAATTTGGTATTATCTCTTTATTGTTATTTTGTACCACTAGCTTCAACTTTAACTTATAAATTAAAAAATGACAAGAAGCATTTTATACTAGCTACATGTGACACAACAAAAACTATTTCCTATCAGTAGGTATGCTGCCAAATTTGCTATATATCTGGATGCTTCATAATTCAATGATCTCAATATCCTTACTTTAAGCTCATGCAACTCTGTGTTAATTGGGACCTATCTGGAATGATTTCACTCACTAATATATATAGGTGAGAATTAGTCATCAATCCACAATTGCCCATCATACACAAGAATTAATGATGCTCATCGTCCCCTCATTATTCTCTCAAACCGTATGCAACAAATAGTCATGATTTTTTGAAGTAACACAATGACATACAACAATTATGGACATGATTTGGAGAAAGAAAAATAGATATTTTAAAGATGTACAACAACTATAACCATAAAGTTTTCTCTAATTGAGTTGGGATAGTTTGATCTTGCAAGTGGTAGGTAATGTTTTGAGCATATATTATCTTTGAAGGTTGTTTGTTGATGTATGATTTTGAGACATCAATATAACTTCGTTGATACGATTATAAGAACTCTAAGGGATAAATCATACATTTGATTTTGTCGACAACTCTAACTGATGATGAATTTGAGTTACTCCAAAAATTAGTTGGAGAAAAAAAAAGAGGAGAGCAGAAAAGAGACTTAAATCATTTTTTTTATTCCTCTATCACCTACAAATAGAGGCTATTTATAGAGTACAAGATTTACTCAAGACTCGATAACTATCAACTAAACACCTAATAATCTTTACTCAACACAATTATCTAACACAGTTATTTTTTATTTTTTTATTTTGTGGAACGAGGGGCTTTAGTTGTTTAGTTCGACCGCAAACTCACGTGAGAAAGCGGAAGATGAGAAACGGAAGACTACTTTTCGCTGAAAGTTGCGGAGAGTTTCCTATCTTACGTCCGTATTTCTGACTCCCGCCCTGGTTTTCTTCCTCCTTTCGGTGTATCCACCTCCAATCTCCTTCAGCTCCTGATCAAGATGGGTTTGATGCAACTCTGGTCTTCTTTGAATTGGGAGAATGAATCTTACCCGGCATACGAAGACTTCGCGGCCGTGCCTTTCTTTGTGCTGTTCTTCCCCACAGCGAGATTCTTCCTTGATAGATTCGTGTTTGAGGTGCTATTGATCGTGCTTTCGTTGCTTGGTTTCGTCTATCTCTTCCGTATTCTATTTATTACCCCCAATTCTCTTTTATTGGGTTGAGAATGGTGCTTTTATCGGTTTGGGATGGGAAGGTCTTTCATTCCTTAATATTTTTGGTTCGATTTATTGGTGAATTAACGAGTTTATATTTGTTGAAAGCTTTGGACTTGTCGAGGGTTTGGAGTTTGGAAAACTTCTTTGTGTTATGTGCATATGTGGGTGTTATAGTTGACTTTGGTGCTCTGAAGTATGTGTCATCATGAGATTCTGAACCCAGGGCGCGTTTAAATATCGTTTGCTTAGACCTAATCAATTGACAGACGAAGTTTGTGATTGTTAGGCTGTAGGTATTCTATTTTAGGACATCTTGTTGGGGTGTGCTGGGCAGATTATCGCAGAGTTGTTTTGGTATTTCTCCGCATAGTGTTGTTCAAATTTGTTGTTTGTATTGAAACATTTGCGCAATAGATTCCAGTTATGTTTACTAGTCTCTGATGCTATGAAGCATCCCAAGCTCAGTGTAAAATATTTGCAGAAAAAAAATATTTAACCCGATGTACTTTAAATTATGTTTATCTGAATATTTGCATAAAATATAGTTCAGTATTGATGTCTAACCATTAAGTTACAACAAAGGTAATTCTTGACTTGCTATACGATGTATGTTTAGTCTCGTTCACAAGTTTATCAAAAAAAAGATGTTTATTGTGGAAAATTTGACATTTTTATCGTAACTGCTCTAGTTATTTTGTTCGTGCTTGTTTAATCAGCCTAAATTATCTTCTATGATTTGGTTAATGTTGAAGAGTATTTTAAAAGCAATTTTCATTGAAGTTAATGTGTATTTTAGCCTAATTATATACTATTTCTTTTGCTTCCATAAGTGGCATTGGTCCTTCAAAACATATGTATTTTTCGGTATGTTTTTTTCATCCGAATTTTGCATATTTAAAGGATGGTTTGCTAGATGGATTTTTGTCCTTAAAAATCATACATGTTAATCATTTACTTACCATGTGTAATCATGTCAGCACGTTCCTGTATTTTTTTTGTTCGCAATGCTGATGGGATACTCGTCTCGAAACTTTGTGGTCATGAAAAAGTATTTTACTCTAGTTGTCTCCGTTTCTTATATTTTATTAAACTGGGGAATAGAGAAGCGTTTTGAGTCCTGGCATTTTTTCATCATTTCGGGACTACTTATTTTCAGGCACACCATTGTGTTTGCTGAACTTGTATCTTGTGATGCTTATCTCTCACTTCTGTTGTTTTATTCTTGCACAATGTAATTGCATTGTAACTTGCACCTTGTCATATTCATTATGTGATATCATACATGAATGGGAAGTTTCGTCCACCTTTTGAAGCTAAATATGGTTGCACAAGTTGATGATATTGTCACTTCATAATATCTAGAGTTTATTACTGGGTCAGGGCATTTTTTTACACAACATATGGAAGAATTTTCCACATTTATAATTAGGAGTTGCATAAGGAGTCTATTGTTTTTCATATATTAATTAAATTTTGAGTTATATCAGTGTTAGGGTCTATGATATCTGACAGAACATTTGCTCTTGAACATACCCGATGTAGGAAAAAAAGAAAGATCCAAAAGACATTATAACTAAGTGAAAAGGCCATAAAGAGAGCACATCCATCAAGAGATATCTACAAAGCGTAGAATTTGCCCAAACAATAAAACTTCGTGCAGCTAATGGTATATGAAGCCTAAGATAAGACACTACCAAACCTTGACGACTGTCATGTAGTATTGAATCCTAAAGCAGAACTAATATTTCTTTAGAAAAGAACAAGAGCACGAGCATCATATATTCACAAAGTAGAAAATTGCAACCAATAGAATCACAGCAGATGGATCTTCACCAAGATAGATAATGATATAATTAAATACTTACATAACAGTAATGGACATTATTTATAACAAAGCAAAGCCATCATAGAAGCCACAAAAGTCAGACAAAGACCAATTCAAAGGCCAAAAGAAAACATTGGATTGTTAGAATTTTATCATTTAAGCACTGTATGATGACACATTTTTTTCCTTTACTCTTGTATAATTAACAAAGCCTTCATCGTCATCTTTGTATCTTAAATCAATTAAAAAATCGAAGGTTTCTTCTGTAGTCAATGGAGTATGCCCCTCATCAAACTTAGTATTCACAACCACTGCCATATCTACCTTGGCCATAACTATTGAAGCCTCTCAACAAAAATGCTGTAGAAGATAAATACTACAAGTGATTGAAACATTAACAGTAGTATCAAAGGAGATGGGCTTCCAAACCCTCTAGTCAGTACAAGGGAATAAGGGGAAGCACCAACTACAATGATAATAATAGAACCACTTGAAGAGGTAGGTTCAATGTATATGAACTCTAGAGAGGAAACCTCACCAATCATAGTAGTAGCAACATGCCCAACCTTAAATATTGATTGATTAATTAAATGTACATGCTTAAGAGTACTTACCATCTTCTGAGACTATCTAAGCGCATGAATTCAATTGCTCCACATATTGCTTAGTTAAAGATGTTCAACATCGTTATTGAAATTAACAATAAAATCATTTCTAGTCGATTGAATATTTCCACTAAAACGAATATCACTTGCCTTACCTGAAGATGAGCTTGTTTGATTATGCCAACTTCAGTAACTATTGCATATCTAAGGTTTCTCAAAGAATTAACAAATTAAGGTTTACTATAAAAAGAATCTAAAGAACAAAGGATTCATAGTCAATTGAATGAACATGGACGTGGCAATCAAAATAGGGGCAATAAGTGGTTCCTTTTTAGGGCTAAACTTAGGAATCAATTTCAATATTCTTGTAGAAAAATAACAAATTATAAGATCTTTGAGAATAATCAACTAGCCGTTTTTCTTATCAACTCTCACAAGTATTTGCTTAGATTTGAAAAGACTAATTGTGAATAAACTTCAAAAACTAAGCTACTAAAAAAATTAATATTTTATATGGGTTGCCACCAATGGTTTAGCCTTTTAATAGTTTGCTGTTTTGGTCTTGGGAGGGTTCCAAAATGTTTTGGGGATGATGTATAAGCCTTGGAAAGGGTTATAATGGGAGTGGTGTTTAAATTCCATACAATGAGATGCATGGGTTTGAAATTCTGGCCCAAATTTTACAAGTGGGATTTAGGCTTTGGAGATTGAAGAGTAGTGTCTCATATTTTCACCAAATTCTTTGGAGGTTTGATGGGTCAAATGGGGGCAAGAATCTAACTAGGTTAGACTTAGCCTAGGTTTGGTTTATACTTATAGCTATAGGAATGGTTTTGGATGAGATTTTGTGGGGAGAATGCTAGGAAATGGGTATGAGATATTGAGGGGTTGATTGTAGAATAATTCTACTGCAAAAGCAAAATTTTTAAGTCTAAATAACATAGACTTGTTACTCACCAAAGTAGCATGGTTGAATAAATCACCTAATCTCTTCATACGATGGCTGACCACCAAGCCTCATCTTTTTGGATGGCTAATTTTGAAAATACGATAATAACCTCTTTTCATTCTTCATTCCACAATGTTTATAATTGATTTATAATGCTTGAAATTGAAATAAATCAAATGGAGGGAAGATTTGCAGCTGACCCACTTAAAGGGATGCAAAGGGATAGTTATATATCTTTTGGAAAAGTGTAATCACCTCTTTTAATGGTAGGCGACCATAACTACTTGAAAGCATGATTTTTTTTTTAATTTTTTAATCACCAGTTCCATTTAAGTTTAATTTATTATTCCCACATTGTGATCCCTCCACAATTAAAATTTTTAAAATTCAAAATTTCAAAAAATTGGAATTTTAAAAACTCAGATTTAGAATTTTTAGAATTTTGGTAATGTCTAAACTAGAGAATTACACAGATAAATCCTTTACATTATTTAACACATACGTAAATATAAAAGTAAAATTTTATTTAATTGCTTTGCTCCTTGTCTTTAATCTATTCATCTTCTCAGCTTTTTTCTTGCTCTAAGCTTTGATGGTTAGTCTATCTTTTCTTTGATGGGTATCTTATGCCACATCAATTTCCTTCTAGTCTAAGCTCATTAGAAGTGGATTTACCAACTAATGTAAGCTCAAAGGGCTTAGCCAAAATAGCAATGTCTTTATTCATGAAAACCATGCTTGGTTTACCTTTATGGTATGAAGTAGCTCTGATCCCAAACAATAAAGCATGGTCAATATTACTAGAAAAACTTTCAATAAGGATTTTGGGATGGTGGCAGCGAAGTTAGTGTCAACACAGCTCCATAACAAGAAATCAAAGACAAACATGCTGGTAGCCAATGGCACTGGTAGTGCATGAAGAAGCTCCGAGGATAATCTCCAAAATCTGTAAAGTTGAATAACTAAATAACAAAGTGGAAGCTCACCAAAAAAGAAAAATGAGACATCACCAGAGCAAACCCTAGCTGAGCATCCAACATTAAGTTTTGTTTACTATCATTAGTATCATATGATTCCGTGTGGAATCTATTGTGGTCTTTATCTGGGTTGAACATTTTGTATCTACATTTTTGCCGCATTTCCTATTGTTGATTGTTGATTATTCTGCTGAATATTTATTTTTTCCATATATTCCTAACCTGTATTGTGGAGGATAATCAGAATCTTTAGAGTTGAATACTTCTAATCAGATTAAAATATTTCATTATGACCATAATTTGGTAATATATTTTGATATTAACTTTATCTTTCCTTACCCTTGATATTTTCTTTTTATCATTTATAGCTTTTACTGTTGTCCTTAAAATATATTTTATTTTCAGAAACAATAATACTATATTACTGTTGTTCGTCAACCTATAAATTAAAATATTAGAAAAATATATTTTCATTTTATTATTTTTATGTTTTCTTTGTTCATATGGATCTTAGGTTGCAATTATCTGTGAAATAAATGCCAAAACAGATAACCCATTCAGGAGCAAACCAGCATAATATTGTTTGTTTAATGCTAACTTCTTCTTTAATTTTATAATTTGTGAAACAAAAAAAAGGAAACTATCCTGAAAAATCTGTATGGCCATGTCTTATAAATGATGTGCATTATTGTTGCTACCCATACTTTTCAGGCAAAGTTTTAAACATGTTTTCTTTCTTTCTTCTACAAGATACACTTACAGGATGCTTTCTGAAGTATTCTGCCTTTTGTTGTAGAGGTTGGGCAGGCGATTAATTTTTGGAAGGGGCCATGGAAATATTGATGCTGAATTCCCTAGTAAAAGAAAAAAGATCAGAAAGTTTAAAGAATCTGCTTGGAAATGCATCTATTTTCTTTCCGGAGAGCTTTTGTCTCTTTATGTTACATATGATGAACCATGGTTCACAAACACCAAATTCTTTTGGTTTGGACCAGGGGAGCAAGTCTGGCCTGACCAAAAAATAAAGTAAGCTAATCATGTAAATGTTCTATTTATTCATTTTATTAAAATTAGGTCTCCTTGGAAATTAGGTTTTGATTGATTCTTGATCTACACAGATTGAAACTCAAGGCAGTTTACATGTATGCTGCTGGGTTCTACATATACTCCATATTTGCATTGCTTTTCTGGGAAACAAGGCGGTCAGACTTTGGGGTGTCTATGTCCCATCATATAGCAACTGCCTTTCTCATAATGCTATCTTACATATTCAGGTTTAGTTCCGGTTTAAATTGGATGTAGATTGGTAACCGCTATCATTCTTTTTTAAGTTATATTCTGCCCCATTTATATTTTTTCTTCTACTTTCTAATACTCTCACTTTGATCTTCATAGATGTAGGAACATCTATCTTTTGCTGCATAGTCCATATCTGCTTTGACATTGTATCTGTTCTTTATATGTCTTTATAATCTTAATTGCTAATTACGTTTAAGGTATATTGTCTTTTAACTATAAAAAGGATGGGCTGAAGGAAGGGTTGCTTTCCTTTCCGTCTTCATTGATTTGAGAATCACAAATAAGAATAATACAAATAGCCTCTTTGTAATCTAGGGGAACTTGTCATAGCTTTAACTCTAGACATTATGCACAGACACAGTCATGAGATGACATAAAATGACACAGGCATGGTGACACGAAATAATCGTAAAATATTTTAAAATAATCCCGCACGTGCACTAGAATATATATACACAAATACACAAAAATCATATGCAATTATACACCCGCATGGGCCCCGATGAGCGTGTTATGGGCACACACGTGACGTTTAGGAATGCTGAGCGGGCCAGACAATAAACCTAAGTTCGAACCCAATTTTTCTATGAGGATGGATATGAGTCGACACGGTTCGAACTATCAAACAAATTTACGGTCACGATGACCGAGATATTTATTTTAATACGTTCATATTAGATTTTCAAGGTCTATGAATAATGAGAATTCACCAACATAGACATAAAGCCTGCAAAGAATCCGATCCTCTGTCGACAAGTAGACAAAGTAGATAAGGTTCAATCCATAATTGAAATTACATGTAAACTCAACCACGATGATGGCTATGTTGAATGTTTATCTCAACCGGAGGGGATTCTACTTTTTCAAATGCTCTTAAATTCCCACAAAATACAAAAGATAAATGACCATTTATACCCCGATGATAGCCGTGTTGAACGTAGTTGTCAATCGAAGGGTTTAATTCCAAATACTCTACACTTTCAAATGCCAACCAAATGCCTACAAAAACCCAAAACCCCAAGAAAATACAAAAATCCAAAATGTTTCAAATTGAAATTCAACAAAAATACTTAAAAGTAAAATCTATCCACTCTCCGCAACAGTTTGCCGAGGTGGACAAATATGAAATTATTTTATCTCACCAATAGCTAATGTCTAATCGAGAATATCATCAGGATTCATTCTCAAACAATCTATTGCTAGCAAACACGTGGCACGTGTCTTCTAACCAACAGTTTGCCGCCAAATAGGGTTGTGAAAACCGGGTTACGGGGCCAACCCGAAACTGACCTGAATCCGACCCATTTTTAGAAACGAGTCATTATGCCGAACCTGAACTCGACCCGCTTCGGGTCTGGGTAAACTCGACACGACTTGTATGACCCGAAAATAATTAAATCTAGTCTTTTTAATTAAATATAAAATATACATAAATTAATAAATTTATAAACAATCAATAATTACAATAGGTAGAGTGGTAGATTTTGAAAACGAACAAGTACATTTATATTTTACATATCATTTGGTCATTTACAAAATTACAAATATATAATCACAGATTGAACAACAAGTACATTTACATTTTACAATATTACATATTTACATATTAATAGCTTACAAAATATTTAGAAATTAATTGTTCTTGTCTTCTTGAAATGCTTCTCTAACAGTCTAGTATCCGTCTTCAAGCACGACATAGAATCAACTGTAATAAAACAAGTTAGATTTGTATAAACCTTCAATATGTTGCTCAGATTAAACCTTCCAAATTTGTAATCACCTAAGGAGGTGTAAGTTCAATCAACATTAGCATATTACCATCTAAGGAGACAAATTGTACTTTGTATTAACTTAGTATCTATTCATTTAAATATGTAGTATCTGCTCATTCTACTAGAATACACAATTACAAATGTCTCCTGGTTGTAATAACATTTATTCTGATACTATTCCCAGTGTAATTTGAGAAGGTTGATCATCATCGCTTCTTCACTTCAAACAACAACAAATAATATATGAATTCAAAATTCTGATAACAGATTTTATAATTAATGCTTTCATCAAATCAACAAACAGAATACTGAGAACAAACTAACATAATAAGCAGTAGCAGAATAGAAAATGAATTAGAATCAACAACAAGTATCAAATCAGAAGAAGCAGCAGGCTACCCGAAAAATTAAAAGAAGAACTAAAGCAGCACAAATATCAAATCGGAAGAAGCAGTAGGCTACCTGAAATAAAACATACAACTTGTTCATAAGTCATAACACTAAACAACCATGTAATAAATTGTTTATAACACTTAACAGCCATGTAATAAATTGTTCATAGCACTTAACACAGAAGTAATGTCTCCCAGTTGTAATTATATATGATTTTCATATAACAGAACTTTCCCAGCTTCTCCCTCAAGTTGATTCACTGTTAAAGTAAGAATTTCTTTAGTTACAGCTTCAAGTTCAGGATCATGTGTAACTACAATAAATAATAATATGTATTTGAGAATTGACCTCTTAAGTATTACGATTGAACCATCATTTCATGCATCATCAGATGTCTCTACCATATTTTCTTCAATGCAAACTTCCTCATTTGCTTGAATATAAATCTCAGGAATGGTGTTTGAATTCTCCATATATTGAAACAATTGCATCAAATTATACAAAGGAAAAATTGAAAAAATATCTAAAAAAATAAATATCCAACCAACTGAATATCAGAGAATGCCAATAACAACTAAAAATATAAATATAATAACTAAATATAAATCTCAGAGAATAAGAGATTTGTCAAATGCCAATAACAACTAAAAATATCCAGGCCAACTGTCAACATAGAATTAAAGATAGCCGTCTGCCAACATAATAATAAATATTGTTATGTTCCTATGGATATTCCAATATCTCATAACATGTATCAAAGTTTAATCAAGAAGAATAATAGATATTGCTATAACAGAGAATCAAAGATAGCCAACTGCTAACAACAACCCGGCCCTTCAATTTCCAAAACCCTAATCGGCATTTCAAAACCCTAATCGGCATTTCAAAATCCTAATCGACATTTCAAAACATAAATCTTATTATAACTGCATCATAAGATCAAAATCTCTAAAAAACGAACAGAAATGCGCAAAATGTGATGCTCTAATCGGCATTTCAAAGCCACAATAGCTTTAAATTGGAAGGAAGAACCAAATAACTCAAAACTAACACTCTAGCAGTGACTCAGTAACACAAAATGAAAAAAATGCAAGACTCATAAGTCATAAACAATCAACTGAAATAGCATGTTAACAGCGGCAATATTTAGATATACTGATTGAAAACGAGTGTGATGTAGAACCGGGAACGCAGCACTTTGCTGAAAGATAGAAGGATCTCCTTCTCGCAAATTTGAAAGGAGTTTTCCAGATTTCTCAAGCCAAAATTCAGGGAGAAATCTCAGATTTATCTAGTGGGCAGAAGTGGAACTCTTTGGAGATACGACTTAGGAAAGAATTCCAGAGGCTCACGAGAGGGTGACGACGTTTGGAAAGAAGAGAAGAGAGAGGTTTAAGGGCTGGGCGCAGATCCAGGGTTGACCAGGGAGATTTCTTGCCAAAAAACCAAGCGTGGGAATAGGAAAGAAATAAGAAGGTTTGATTTTGGGATAGTTCGGCGGAAAGTAGACAACAGAAATAACTTACGAAATTATTTGATATATGGACTTAACAGGGCAATATATAAGGAAATAAATCTTATTTTGCTCATATGGTGGCCGGCAGCAATACATTGATCTGGGGGTTTTAATGGGGCCATAACGCTTCTCAATTATGGGTTGATGTCATAAGGCAAGATTTATTATTAATCCAATTGAAATTGTTTAAATATCAAATTAAATTAAGAATAGAACCCTTTCTAAAAGTTTTGCTAATTTATGAAAGATTTCAATTCAAATGTTTTGATTTGAATGAGGGATTTGTGGAGGAAAGTTTTGAGTTAAATATCGAGCTTAGGGGAAGTTTCCTATAGAGGGTAATTAATTAAACCAATTTTGAATTTAAAATTCAAATTGAAATCTATTAATTAGGAGACCTCAATTAAGGAGCTAAATAGGAAAAAGTATCCAAAGCCTCATGAGAGCTTTGAATTTCAAATTCAAAGCTCCAAGAGGGGCTGGCGGGTTTGGAGCGGTGGGGGAGTGGCGGGCGGCCAAGAGGGTGGGGATCGGGTAAAGGTGGCCGGCGGTTATGGGGGAATCTTTGTGGATCTTGGTCAATGGAGGTTTGGTCGAGGGGTTGAGAGGGAGGGGAAAGAATGACAAACTAACGACGGGCGAGAGGGAGAAAGAAGAAATCAAAACAAAGATAAAACGAAAGATAGAAGACATGAACCGCGAGCCTCGGGGACTCTTTCCGACGCCTGACGGGTGATGCTTTTTCCCTTCTCCAAGGGATCTCAAATCACGAGCCCGGACCCATCCTGCGGCTGGTGAAGATTTCGATTCCTCCCATAGGAATATCACAAACGCTCTCTTACAAGAAGAACACAAGTGTGGAAAAACACAAAAATTTCATATTCATTAACCATCTCTTACAATAGCTTAAGTCCCTTATTTATGGGCCATAACATGAGAAATAATAGAAAATTACAAAAATGCCCCTTGGGCCAAAACACTCACATAAGCTATCCTAGGGGTAAAATAGGAAATACATAAAACAAGAGCTAAAATTCAGAAAATGATACATAAATGAAAATTTAAATAATGGCCGTCGATTTACGACGCCGCCTGTGATAGATGCGCCAAATCTTCGTTTTGATGTCCGCATCACGATGAGTCGAGGACACAGAGTCGTAGAGGAGGAGAAAAGCTAAAAATGGCCGGGCAGAAGGCAGGAATCCCCGCGAAATCGAGGAGCCTTAGCTTTGACGTTCCAAGCTCGAAGAGAGACGAACGATATTTCAACTCTCGAATGTCGAATATGCCGCTT